AGCACCTTTCTCCACTGTCTTTCCTCTGTCTTCCACCTCAGTGGGACCGCACTCGCCTGGTTCAAGTCCTACCTCACGAACCACCCAGCGGTACATCTGCACAAACGGCTGTTCCTCCCGTTCTCACCCGGTTACCTGCGGGTACTCCAAGGATCTATCCTTGGACCCCTCCTCTTTCTGACCTACATGCTCCCTCTTGGGGATGTCATCCGCAGACATGGAGTCAATTTCCACACGTATGCGGACAACACCCAACTCTATTTTTCCACCTCACATTGCGACCGTCAGTCCCCTGATGTTCTGTCAGCCTGCCTGTCAGACATCAGGAGCTGGATGAGCGCGAATTTCCTTCAGCTGACAAAAATGGAAGCTCAGTGGTTAGAGCACTCTCTTTGCAAGCGAGAGACCTGAGTTCAATTCCAGGCAGGGCAAAATCTTGGGCAAGTTTCCTTACTCCACACGCCTAATAATAATCCCTCCAAAACAAAACAATAATAAATTGGTCATTTTCAATCTACGACTGTTTGTGGGATACTGCTGTGCGCAATTGGCTGCCGCGTTCACCCACAAATATACAGTCAATTCACTTTACAGTATATTCTGCGAAGCACTTTAGGACGTCTAGAAGACGTGAAAAGCGCTAAATCAAATGCAAGGATTATTATTTCTATTATTATTATCAACATCTAAAATCACATGGTTCTCACCTCCTCCACCTATCCGACCTCCTCCTAAGCATCAGGTTCAACCCCCAATTATCCTTCCACCCCCACATCCGATCCCTCACCAGCACCGCTTTCTTCCACCTCCAACGCATCACCAGTCTCCGCCAATACCTCACTCCAAAAGCCGCTGAAACACAGGTGCATGCTTTTGTCACCTTTCAGCTGGACTATTCAAATGCCCTCTTTGTCTCTCCTCCACTACCATTCACAAAATCCAGGTCATCCAAAACTCTGTCATCCGCATTTTTACCCACACCAAACTCCGCTCCCTAATTACCCGAATTCTTGCCAGACTGCACTTGCTGCCTGTCCCAGAGAGGATCCCCCCACTGCCTTCCTCTGCTCCAGCCTGGGAATCCTCCGCCGGGCTCATCGTGGTACTCAGCATTGGCTGTCCAGCAGAAGCTACACCCACAGCCCCATTCCCCACTACCACCACAAGCCACCACGGGCCCAGACCCGGGGGCTAACCTCTCCATCCTTATTCGCATAACCCAACCGCTCCGACCGCCTCATCATCCTAGGCGACTTCAACCTCCAATTCACCCACTCTTGCTCCACCTCCTCAGACTTCTCCTCTCTCCTCTCCTTTCCTCTCTTAACCTTTCCCTCCATATGCACTCTTCTATCCATGTTCATGGCCACCCGCTTGACCTAGTGATCACCCAGGGCCTCAGCACTTGGGATGTCACCATCGCAGACAAGGCTATCTCTGACCACCATTTCATCTCCCTCAACACCTTTATCCCTCTACCCACTGCCTCCAAACCTATCACCATCTCCTACCGCCTGTGGAAAAATCTCCCCACAATCTCTCTCTGCTGCCCTGAGCACCCTCTCCACCACACTTGACGCCCTTGCCTCCCTTGCCTCCCGAACTGCCTCTTGTTCCCGACCTTCATCCTGGTTCACCAGCTACCTCTGCTCGCTCAAGGGCCAGGTGCAGGCTGCCGAACACATTTGGTTCAAATCCGGCCTAATGTTCCACCAGCACATCTGGCTGGACCACATCAAAACCTACCACTCTGCTCTCACCTCGGCCATCGTCCTTCTATTCCAGGTTAATTCTGGAGGCGAAGAGCAACCCCAGGCTCCTGTTCTTCATCACCAACCGGCTTCTCCGCTCTCCCTGCCATGCCTCGCAGATTCTTTCCTCCAACTTTCACTGCGAGGAAATGCTGGTCTTCCTCAAGTCCAAAATAATAATAATAATAATAATCCTTGCATTTGATATAGCGCTTTTCACGTCGGGAGGACGTCCCAAAGCGCTTCACAGAACACACTGTAAAGTGAATTGACTGTATATTTGTGGGTGAACGCAGCAGCCAATTGCGCACAGCAATGTCCCACAAACAGTCGTAGATTGAAAATGACCAATTTATTATTGCTTTGGGTGTTGGAGGGATTATTATTAGGTGTGTGGAGTAAGGAAACTTGCCCAAGGTTTTGCCATGAAAAAAATGAGGGAATCCACTCAGCTGCCACTGACCCCCAACTTCCATCACCTTCCTAACCCCCCCACCACCACACTCCGACCACTATCCATCCCTCCTTCCACACCTTTGAACCTGTCACCCCCTCCTCTATCATCACCATCATATCCTTCATGAAGTCCACAACCTGCTCCCTGGACCCCATCCCCACCCCTCTCCTTAAATCCCAGCTTCACCTCCTTGCCCCACTACTCGCCGACATCATTAACCTCTCCCTGTCATCTGGCACTGTTCCTACCCCCCTAAAACAAAACAGCCACTATCACCCCCACCTTGAAGAACCTTCCCTTGACCCAACACAGCTATCCACCTACCGCATCTCCAACCTCCCTTTTCTGTCCAAGGTCCTTGAGAGAACCGCTGCCTCTCTGATGTGTGACCAGGGCTCCCTCTGCCTCCTCGTCCTCCTCGACCTCTCTGCTGCTTTTGACACTGTGGACCATTCAATCCTCCTCCACCACCTTTTCTCCCACCTCAACCTCCAAGGTTCTGTCCTTGACTGGTTCAGGTTCTACCTTTCACACTGCCTCCACTTCGTCTCAGCTAACGGCTTCTCCTCCAGCCCCCGCACTGTCTCTTGTGGTATTCCTCAGGACTCTGTCCTCGGTCCCCTCCTCTTCACCCTCTACATGCTTTCCCTTGGTGATGTCATCCGCAGACATAGGGTAAATTTCTACGTGTATGCGGATAACACCCAACTCTATCTTTCTGCCTCCACCCTCAACTCCATGACTACTGACGTGCTGGCCGACTGCCTGTCCGACATCAAGTCCTGGACAAGGGACAACTTTCTCCAGCTGAACGTCAGCAAGACTGAGGTCCTCCTGATTGGCTCATGCCAGCGCTTCTACACTTCGGGCGCTGCCAGCATCCGCATCCACGGCTGCACACTCAACCTCACTAAGCCAGTCAGGAACCTGGGTGTCTTGTTTGACCCTGAACTGTCCTTTCTCCCCCACATCCGCACCATGACCGGCACTGCCTTCCACGACCTCCGCAACATTGCCAGACTCCGCCACTGCCTCACCCCTCAGGCTGCCGAAACCCTTAACCACGCATTTGTCACATCAAGGCTCAATTATGGAAATTCCCTCCTCATCGGCCTTCCCAATGCTTCCCTTCACAAGCTGCGGATCATCCAAATCTCTGCAGCTTGCATACTCTCGCGCACCAGGCTATGTGACCCCATCACTCCCTCCCTCGCCCGACTCCACTGGCTCCCCATCCCTCAGAGGATCGAATTCAAGATCTTCGTCCTCACTTTCAAGGCCATCCATGGTCTTGCCCCCTTCTACCTCTCTGACCTGCTAACTCCCTACCAACCTGCCTGCTCCCTCCGTTCAGCGGGCTCCGGTCTGCTCCATGTCTCCCGCCCGACCCGTCCTACCATTGGTGGCCGGGCTTTCAGCCTCTCTGCTCCCACACTCTGGAACTCCATCCCACGGTCCCTTCACCTCGCTTCCTCCCTTGCCTCCTTCAAGGCCGGTCTCAAGACCCTCCTCTTTGCCCTCCCACCTCCCTGTCTTCCCTCACCCTTACCCCACCCTTCCCCCATGCTCGGGTCCTGATCCTTGACTGTCCAGCGCCTTGGGATGTCTTCCCGCCAGAAAGGCGCTCTATAAATGTAATTTTGTTGTTGTTGTTGTTGTTGAGGATTTCACAAGCAAGTTTACAATCAATTAATGAAACAAAAGTGAGATTAATACCATGTTTCACAATTTATTTTCTTGTTAGCAAAATACTGATACATTTTTCTCTTGTTTTAGCCTCAAACATTTATGAACAGCAGTAACATAAGACGTGATGCTATCTAACCTGCATCAAGAGCTGTTTATGGACTATTGCTGTGGACAGATTATCTGCTACATTCACATACACAGTCATCACAGTAAATCCCGTAAAGCCCTTTGAGATGTCCTACAAACGCGAAAAGCACTTTATGTAGAAGAATCTCTCTAAACATCTTGGATATACACAGGTTTTATATATAGTTAATAATAATAATCATAAAAAAAATCATTTTATTATTATCAATTCTGTATACAACCTATGCTCATTCAAGATAATAATAATAATCCTTGCATTTGATATAACGCTTTATCATGTCATCGAGACATTCAAAGTATTTCACAGGATATACTGTAAAGTGGATTGATTGTGTATTTTGTAGATGAAACGCAGCAGCCCAGTTGCGCATAACAATGTCCCACAAATAGCCATGGACTGAGTGACCAATTCTGTTTGGGGGATTGTTGCCCAGGATACTGGGAGAAACTCCCTTCTCTTTTCAAATAGTGCAAGTGGGATCTTTAACATCCACTTGAACAGGCAGATGGGATCTCAGTTTAACATCTCATCTGAAGGACAGCACCTCTGACAATGCAACACACTTCCATCACTGCATTGGAGTGTCACCTTAGGTTATGTGATTCCAAGTCCCAATGCGACTCAAAGTCCACACAACCTTCTGACTCAGAGGTGAGAGTGCTGAGTGCACTGTGCCAAGGTGACACACAATTTATTGCTCTCATATTTAGGAAGACTGGTTTCACAATTCCTGAATAAAACAAGCCTTGCTGGTCTGTTGTTGGTCACTTGGTCTAGACTTACCATATTATCTTTGCTAGTTTTTCCGAATCAGTAGCAATAGAGTATTCAAGAGTCACACATGCTGAAAGTGTCAGATTTCTTTCAAATCACTCAAACTACAAAAACCTATAAGCAAGCTATAGTTTAATCACCATAAGCCAACAAATACGGATCCTTCATGATTTTCTTGTTAAATTTGTTTAACTGGCGCATGATAACTTTCAACTCCAATGAGTTTCTGAATCCAGGAGATGTATTTCTCTGTTAACAGGGTGCAGATTTCAGGCTTGTTGGCATCTTTGGAATTCTTTCCATGTAAAGCAATACCACACAACATCTTCTTCTTATGCAAAACCTTTCCTATTTTGCACAGCAATGGACCACCTGGAGAAATCTGTGGTAAAAAATTAGACAACATGTTAGAACTGGAGTATTCAAGTAAAGATAAAGATATTGCAGTCATGAAATGAATAATCAATTCATGAGGGCATACCATGTGAGACATATAATAAGTAATCTTGTGCTATGGTTTACTTTCAAATGATTGCACTCCATGTAATGTATTTCATCTGTTCCAGTGAATATACTGGAACTCTGCAGTTTAGTGGTTTAGCACTCGCTTCACAAGCAAGAGGACCTCGGTTTGATTCCCGAGCAGGGTGAAATGTAAGCAAGTTTCCTTACTCGACAAGCCTGTGTTTATCTAGCAGTAAGTAGGAACCGTTAGTTGGCAGATTGCTTTTCCGGGAGTAATAATCCCGTCAAAAAATATATAAAAGGAATATTAATCCACACCTCTGTGTGCAATTGGCCCAGAAAATATACAGTCAATTCATTTTGCAGTATATTGTGTGAAGCACTTTTAGATGTCTCGAAGACGTGAAAAGGCACTATATCAAAAGCAAGGATTATTATTTTGCTTCATCCCATTATAAGTTCATACCATCGAGGCAGTAAAGTTACTGGCCTTGTAAAGGTATGGCGAAAGGCCACCGATGGTGGGGCGATTAGGGCGGGGGATGTGGAGCAAACCGGAGCCAGTAGAACGGAGGGTACGGGCAGGTAGGTAGGAGGATAGTAGGTCGGAGAGGTAGGAGGGAGCAAGGCCGCGAATGGCCTTGTAGGTGAGGAGGTAAATGCAAGTGAGGTGTAAATGCAAGGATTATTATTATTATGTGCCAAGATCTAATAACTTGTGGAACAAGCTAAATGGCCTCATCTTGTCCTTGCTTTGCTCTGTTCTTATTGACAAATGGACAATTATACAGAGCTGCCATCAAAGTCTGTACATTTACCAACAATCTGAGAATCAACTCCTAGATCTATTATATAAATAAAGCACACATATATATATATATCCTATATCCTTGCATTTGATATAGCGCTTTTCACGTCGGGAGGACGTCCCAAAGCGCTTCACAGAACACACTGTAAAGTGAATTGACCGTATATATGTGGGCGAATGCGGCAGCCAATTGTGCACAGCAATGTCCCACAAACAGTCGTAGATTGAAAATGACCAATTTATTATTTTTGGGGGATTTTGGAGGGATTATTATTAGGCGTGTAGAGTAAAGAAACTTGCCCAAGGTTTCGCCCTGCCTGGAATTGAACTTAGGTCTCTCGCTTGCAAAGCGAGTGCTCTAACCACTGAGCTACAGGACTCCACATGTTCTCATGCTAGCTAAATATCACAGTTTACAATATGAATGAGAGATATAAATTCCTTCAAATGACAGTGGCATTCCTCCCGACATGAAAGGCACTGTATAAACATAAATTATTATTGCTGTTGTTGTCAATGACTTACCATGCACATATTATTTTTACCCTTTTGTTCAGCTGCACAGATCATGTTGCTAGTTATAATTGGATGTTTGTGGTAAGATTTATTGCAGGTGGCATTATCAATCACAGTTACATCTGCTTCCATCAAAGTGTCAGACGATTTCTGAACATTTGTACTGGTTTTTCCCCATCCCAGAACACTGCACCTTGTTCCACGTTTGATGTCTTTTGGCAGTACTTGCAGATGGAAGATTTCTACAGATTTCCTTTTAATATTTGCATCTTGAGCTAACTGTAACAGATAAAAATAATCATCTATTGCACTTCAGTCTATAGCTCTTAAATACATACTCCTTAAACATGTAAAGCTCCGAATTCCCACAAAACTCACAGTCAATCCACTTTACAGTATATCCTTTCTTAGATAAAGAGACCAAAACTGCACAGAATATTCTAGGTGCGGACTCACCAAGGCCCTATGCAATTGCAGCAAGACTTCCCAGCTCTTGCACTCTAACCCCTTTGCAATAAATGCTCACATTTATTAGCCTTTCTACTTGTTTGCTGAACCTGCATACTAACTTTTTGTGATTGGTGTACAAGGATACCTAAATCTCTCTGAATATTAACACTAACTAGTCTCTCCCCCTCTATCTTATATACTCTCATATTCCATTATCATCCTTTTAATCAGTTTTTTAGTTATCCTTTGCTGATCTCTAAAGCCCTCCCAATCCTCAGGTTTACAGCTCTTTTTTGGCAATAGGCCTCTTCTTTTAATTTTATACTTTCCTTAACTTCTCTAGTTACCCATGGTTGAACCACTTTTCCCGTTGAATTTTTATTTCTCAAGGGAATATGCGTTCGCTGGGAATTATATAATATATCTTTGAACATTTGCCATTGCTTGTCTACCATCATATCTTTTAATCTACCTTCCCAATCTATTTTGTCAAATCATCCCTCATACCTGCAAAGTTGGCTTTATTTAAGTTTAAGACCCTTGTTTCAGACTTAACTACATCACTCTCAAACTTAATATTAAATTCCATCATATTCTGGTCACTCTGGCCTAGAGGAGCCTTAACTTCAAGATTACTGATTAGCCCTGCTTCGTTACACAATACAAGATCTAGGATAGCCTGTTCCCTGGTTGGTTCCTCAGCATATTGTTCTGGAAAACTATCTCTAATCATTCCATAAACTCATCCTCTAATTTACTTTTGTCAATTTGGTTTTCCCAGTCTATATGAAGATTAAAATCACCCACTATTAGTGTATACCTCTTGCTACATGCTTCTCTAATTTCCTGATTAATACTCTGCCCAATACAGTAACTGCTGTTTGGGGGTCTATAAACTGCTCCCACTAGTGTTTTCTACCCCTTGTTGTTTCTTAGCTCCACCATTACTGATTCTACATCCTGATTTTTTGACTTAAGGTCCTTCCTCTCTACTGTTTTTATCTCATCCTTTATTAGCTCCCAACCTTGGTCTCCCTGTAACCACTCAGTAATGGCTACTAGATTGTACCCATTTATCTCTATTTGTGCCATTAATTTGTCTATCTTGTTACAAATGCTGTGTGCATTCAGTTATAGCGCCTTTAATTTTCACTAAAAATACTTTTTACTAATTCCCCTACACATTAATACCCTATTTTCTTTGTTAAACTCTTTGTCCCTACTTGACACACTCTTTTCTTCATCTCCCAAGTCACTACTCTGCTCTACAGCCTTGACTTTTCTCATCTAATTCTGTTTCTGATGAATGCAGAAATATAAATGTGAACGTATTTTGCCCACAAAATACACAGTCACTCTACTTTACTTCATATATTCCATGAAACCCTTTGAGACATCTTAACAACATAATAAAGGGATATATCAAATGCAAGGATTATTATTATTAATATCAGATAACCCTCTCTTCAAGTGTAACAGCTTGCCAGCCCCCAGAAAACTCCTTGCTGAAAATAATGGCTGGATAATTTATTACACAAAATTTACCTGGAGAAGCATGATGTCATTTTCTAGGGATAAATCCTTGAATTCAGGGAATGGTATTACGTTTTCCACCCGAATTTTCTGTTCTGTCTTACCCTTCTTCTTTGTTGATTGATCTCCAAGGACCACTGTAGGATTCTTTTTCTTAAACAACCTGCAGATTTTATAAAAAAACAGATAGTGTTTGAAGGATCTTATCATTTTGGAAATTATTTAGTTGCATTGAATGAGGATCAGAAAAAGACAAAACGTAAAATATCAGATCTTTAATATCATGAACACTTTCAAGGGGAATTTATTAGTATATCTGAATGTCCTGCTAGTTTTGCGCACAGCAAGGTCTCACAAACAGCCAAAGAGTGAGTGACCAATTTTGTTTGGGGGGTTGTTGGCCAGGAGACTAGGAAACACTCTTCTCTTTTTGAATAGTGCCATGGGATCTTTAACATCCATCTGAACAGGGAGTTTAATGTTTCATCCGAGGACACCACCTCCGAAAATGCAACACTTCATTGGAGCGTCAAATTAGACTATGTCTTAGCAATGTGTTATGGTACTATATTGAATGCAAGGATTATTATTAGTATTATGTATATCTCCATGACTCCAACTCCAGCTTTCCTCTATTGCTTATTCTTTGTCCTTGTCTGCCTGCTTGCACACCCGCCCACCCTGTGAAAGACAGGGGATGCTCTTAGAAGGCAGAGATATCTCAGCATCCATAGCACAACTTCAATTAAACTACAATTCTCAAATGAGTCCAGCACCCTGGGCTCAATCACCCTTCCCCGCATCCCGTTCCAGTTGCTAATTACCCTCTGGATAAAGAAAAACCTCTTGTTGTCTGTCCTGAAACTGCTCTTTTCAACTCTAAACCTGGATCCTCTTGTACTGTCTTGTTATATCTGAAAATATTGTTCTGGATCCACTTTTTTAATCCTGTTTAAAATGTTATATGCTTTATAAGATCCCCTCTATAAGGTCATCTCCTTTCTAGAGAACCCTAGTATGTCTAATCATTGCTTATAGCTCATTCAACAACAACAACAACTTGCACTTATATAGTGCCCTCCACGCCAGGCAGCATCCCAGAGTGCTCTTGATCCAGATTATCCATACACTTACAGCCCTAGTTGGCTAAGACAACGATCACTGAAACAACAAAAGCTCCTCAAACCATGTTGATCATTTTGTCCAACTGCACAAATAAACATTCCTCTAACACTGGGGATTATCTTCATTGTCTCCTCTGCACTCTTTAGGGCTTGAGCAACTCTATTATGTTCCAGTGAGTGGAACTGAATGCAGTACTCTAGGTACAGCCTGCCCAGAGCACTAGTTAGCTTGTTCACTTATGGTTATCGACTGAGACATCACAAGGAGCAGAATATCTGACAATGTGATAATTATGTTATTGAATATTGTACTTTTCACCCCTTATATTTTTTCCAACTATCCTTTAAAATGCATAAACTAAAATGATACCACTATCTTTAAAACGCTCAGGAAAACACTGTGCATCTTAAATGTTAAAACACCAGAGCACCTTACAGTTTACAGCTTGCTGCAGTCAGGACCCAGTTGGAATGGATCAACGTTCCTCCACACAGATGTTTGTTGTCAAGTTGAATGGATACCATGTACGCTGCTGAACCAGACTTCACCTTCTGACAGCCAGAGCGAGTCATTTCCATGCAGTAAACTACAGGAGAAAAACAATAGGATTATTATAAAGGCTTGTCAATGCTGTGAATCTTCAACAGATTATCCAAACACTTACAGCCCTGGTTGGCTAAGGCAATGATCACTGAAACAACGAATGCCACTTGAGCCATGTTGATCATTTTGTCCAACTGTACAAATAAAGTCTAAACATAGCTCTATTTTATGCAGTTAGAGGAGGATGTGGTTTCTAAAGAACAGACAGCAAGTATTTGATGATGATCTGAAGAGGAATGTCACATGATTTATCTGCAACCCCCTGTTATTATTGATGCTTTAATGATAACATTTATCATTTTGAAAGCAATGCATTTTACCTGAGAAAATGATGCTTTATATTTACTTTTTTTAATGGAGGTCTGGAAAATGTGCTGCATATGTCAATTTGCGACTACCATCTGCTAATGCTATTCACATGACTACATTACAACAAGATGATAGAATAATGTAGTTCCATGTTTAAGTTACTTTAATAATAATAATAATCTTTGCATTTGATAAAACGCTTTTCACGTCTTCTAGACGTCTCAAAGCGCTTCACAGAATATGCTGTAAAGTGAATTGACCGTATATTTGTGGGCGAAACGCGGCAGCCAATTGCGCACAGCAGTGTCCCACAAACAGTCGTAGATTGAAACTGACCAAATTATTATTGTTTTGTTTTGGAGGTATTATTATTAGTGTGGAGTAAGGAAACTTGGCCAAGGGTTTGCCCTGCCTGGAAATGAACCCAAGTGTCTCGCTTGCAATGCGAGTGCTCTAACCATTGGGCCACAGGACTCCACGTAATTTAAATTGGCTGCTGCATTTGCCTACATTGCAGTCATACAGTCATAAAATTCAGTAATCATGCTTTACAGTATATCCTGTGAAGCGCTTTGCGATGTCCAATGTGAAAGGCTCTGAATCAAACACAAGGATGAATATTTCTTCATTCATTATTATTGTTTAGTTCTTTGAGTCCTACCTCACAAACCGCCAGCAGTACATCTGCACTACGGCTTTTCCTCTCGCTCTCACCCGGTTACCTGTGGGGTACCCCAAGGATCCATTCTTAGCCCCCTCCTCTTTCTGATCTACATGCTCCCTCTTGGGGATTTCATCCACAGACATGGGGTACACTTCCACATGTATGCGGACGACACCCAACTCTATTTTTCCACCTCACATTGTAACCCCCAGTCCCCTGATGTTCTGTCAGCCTGCCTGTCAGACACCAGGAGCTCGATGAGCGCGAATTTCCTTCAGCTGAACGTTGACAAGACACCTAGCTAACTAAAAAACAAACACATTGGAACTAGTGTTAGAGTAATATTTAAAAACCAGTGATTTTACTCAATGGAAACAAAACTCATTGCAGTATTTACACATGTCTATTTTAATTTGGGAAAGCAGGTTATTTCACTTAAAATCCAATCAAACTTTGCAATTCGATCATATGAAATTTTATATTTAGACCCAATAGGCAGCTTTAATTCAATTCTGTGAAGTTACACAACAAATTCCATCAAACATCTTTACACTAAAACAAGAAACCAGAAATATCTTATAATAATAATAATAATAATAATAATCCTTGCATTTGATATAACGCTTTTCACGTCGGGAGGACATCCCAAAGCACTTCACAGAACACACTGTAAAGTGAATTGACTGTATATTTGGTGGGCGATCGCGGCGGCCAATTGCGCACAGCAATGTCCGACAAACAGTCGTAGATTAAAAATGACCAATTTATTATTGTTTTGTTTTTTGGAGGGATTATTATTAGGCGTGTGGAGTAAGGAAACTTGCCCAAGGTTTCGCCCTCTGCCTGGAATTGAACTCAGGTCTCTCTCATTTGCAAAGCGAGTGCTCTAACCACTGAGCTACAGGACTCCTTATGGTCTTAGCCTTAAAACCGTTTTGTTAAATTTTAAGATTGTGCAGAATTGTGAAAAATTCTAAAATTGAGTCTTAATTTGGAAGATTTTTAAGAACTATGGGAAACTATTTTCCAACTTAAGACTGAATTTAACAATTTTCCAGAGTCCTACGTGATCTTAACTTTTAAGGTAAAATGATGGTGCGTGCTAGGTCTTGTAGCATTTTGAGCGTCTCATAAGATATTTGGCCTTCTCATCAAGAGAACTCTAATTTACAAATTCTTAACAAAACCTCATTACCACTGGTGGACAGCCGGCAGTCATGTTTATTGCATGCTAACCATAAACCAAATCTCAAATCCTGACTGAAACTCATGTCCCTGCATTCCCTTCTAGTAATATCATGTTTATATCAGTAAGTGCATGCTAGTTTTAAGATTGAATGTAGATTAGTTTTCTGGTCAAAGCTGAACACCACATACCCATAGAGCACATCTAGTAGTAACTGTTTGTCTAAATATATTGTGGTTTACATATGTGTCTATACTTTACAGTGTCACATTCATTCTAACCAAATTGCTTCAGTTTAGCTCGAACCTGCAAGCGCTATATCTCTTTGCTGCAATTAATTTTGCACTAAAATGATGCTGGTCACTCCACCTCCACAAATGTGTCAAAGTTTCCGAGCTTGCATTTACACCACAAAATCTTCCACGCTTTGAAATATGTTTAACCACATCTATGCTCCATTTTAACGCATTTTTTTTTGGCAGGATAGAGATGCATTTTTCATTGTCTGATGTTCACCCAAAGTGTCAAACAAAGGGTAAATTGTAATTCTGGACATTTAAAAGATATATGAAGATAGTTAATCACTCTATATTCCGATTTTTATCCAAAATGCTTTGAGAGGAAGTACAATTTGGTTCAAGTTATTTTCCAAATAAATGTTGCAAAAGAAATTTGTTCTTAAATGTTCTTAGGGTGAAGATGCTTTAAAATCTCTTAAAGTAGCAAGTGACTTACCTTCTGCAATTTTGACACAGTTATTAAAACACTCCTTTCGAAACTAACTTTTGGGCCACAAGAGGCCTGTCCATATTTGTTTTTATCATAACGAAACCCACAGTATTGAGGAGGACACAAGCAAAACGATTGTGCTACAACACCCCAAGCAATTTCTTTCTCATATATCTCTGGATTGCGTTGAGGTGAAAGTGCAGCAATTAGTCAGCTTTGCAAAACCCTGAATTATTTTAAGAACTACAGAAAGTCAGCTTCCACATTAAGACTGAACTTAAATTTTTTCCAAAAACCTCTATGATATTACAGTTTAACACAATTATTTTAAGATTAAGACCATGGGACTGTTAACACACGATTTCCAAATCCTACCCAAACTTAATAATGGAGCTCGAACAGAACTCTGAATTCAGCTTAAACAAAACAGAAAATACTGCAGATGCTGGAAATCTGAAACCAAAACAGAAGTCGCTGGGAACACTCAGCAGGTCAGGCAGCATCTATGGAGAAAAGAAAGTGAGTCAATGTTTCGGGTCCCTGACCCTTCGTCAGAACTGGTTCTTGAGTTGGAACTTGAATTCAATTTCCCAGTGACTTCTCTTTTTTGTTTCTGAATTCAGCTTAGTGTTACTAAGATTAAATAGCTGTTTGCCCAAGCGGCTCTTCAACAATATTTTTTTAAAAAGGATATTGATACACCTTAGGCTGTCTAGCTGTCTGGTTGTTTCCATGTCACAGCTTTTTCTCAGAATTTTGATCTTCAGGAAAGCTCCTTACATACATTTATGATTTGAAAGAGTGACTCAGAGTACAAAACAAATCTAAACATATGATTTATTTTAGAAGTGTACCTCTCTAAATAGATCATTGTTTTTAAACAAAAGTCCACGATTATCACGGATTAAGTGACACTTTGGCAAGTAAATAAATATAGGAACCAATTTTATTCCCTCAGGATACCATGTGATAAGTAATTCTAAGGGATCCAATAATCTCAAGCACTGTCCACAATTTGAGAAGCAAGCCTTCAGGGCAAAGGATATCAAGTTAAGCGTATAAATAGAACAATGAGAAGGGCATTTTAACAATATAGTGGATTATGCATCATGTAGGATTTAACAGCAGATATCATCTGCTACAGTTACGTTTGTGGCATGTCAAAAACTAACAGCTCGGTCAGTGCTCTGAGACACTACACCACATATTGTTGTTGTCATATGCTTCCTTGTGTTAAAAACATTGTAAAATACCACAGACTTTAATCCATATGATTTTCACAGTTTGCCTTTCCCTTGCCCTCAGAAGTGCTATCAATAATGTGTAGTCTATTTCAGCGACTAACATAGTTGTGTTACCACTTTTATACATATAATTATCTCAGTACTTGATATGGGGTTAGCAGGTCACAGAGGTAGAAAGGAGCAAAGCCATGGAGGGCCTTGAAGACGAGGACGAGGATTTCTCTTGTTCTGGAAGGATTAGATCAGATAGGCCAAAGGACCTTCTTCATCGAAACTTCTCTTGTGATCTTGTGAACTCATGGAGCGTTTACGGAACCTTGATATTTTGTTCCACCCTCAACTTTTTTTCCAACCTGTCATCCAGGCTCTGACCAAGATCACTTTCTTCCATCTCTGCAACATCTCCCACTTCCGCCACTACTCCACGTCAGTGCAGTCAAAACTCTCATCTATATCTTTGTCATCTTCACATTTGACTTTTCCAGGGCCTAGCTCATCAATTTCCCCAGCTTCAACCTCTACAAACTCCAGACCATACAGAATCCCTGGGAAACTGCACGAGTCCCTCACCTTCATCCTGCTCTGTTCACTGGCTCCTTAACCCCCAAGTAGATCAATTTTAAGATCTTCATCTTCAAATGTTTCTATGGCCTTGCACCACCTTGTCTCTGTGATCTCCTGTGACCCTATTCCCCTGGTTATTTGCTTCGCTCCCCCAACTCCAGCCTGTATCATACTTACTTCTTCAACTTTTCCACAGCCCAGCTTGGGTTCTCACTCAGCCTTTATAAAATGCTTTGAGATGTTCTCCCGATGTGAAAGGTTTTATATAAGTGTAAATTGGTTGGTGGTGTTTTGTAAGGTAACACTATGATTGCAGGTGTGAAATGCGGCTGATTCACACCGGAAATTATTGAATACGTAAATGTTTGAGGAAGTACCTGAAGCAGAGAACCTGACTACTATGATTCTATTTTGAAAGTGTCAAGCTTCTCCTTTGCAGTCTGCTAGCAGGAACATTTGTTGGTTACCCAGTCACTAAAGGTTAATTTGCTGGTTACCCAGCCACTGAATGTTTTAAGTAACAAAAGAGATTGCAAATAGGCGAAGAAAGACCAAATAGTCACATGATATACTCTGTTTTTCTACTTTTTAATACTTCAAACAAAAAGCAACGTTTTGAACAACAGAAGTGTGATTAAAGTTCAAGCTACACATTCCATTTTAATGTATAAGCAAAAGTGAATTCTTATTACATGTCTTTGATGCGTAAGTGAATTGAGTCTTCCTATTGCATTTAATTCACTGAAGAATTAATCTTTACATCAATGAGCCTCATTCCTGACTTTCCTTTGCTCTTACATACTAACACGGATTGTCTTCTGTATCCAACGTATGTACTCTTCTGACAAACGTGTACATATGGAAGGTTTATTCCGCACTGCACACCCTTTTCCATTTGAAATAATGCCTCTGTACACATTCTTCTTCCCTTCTTTACATATTAGTGGTCCACCTGAATCACCCTTCAAAACATAAGCCCAAATCACAAGATTGGTTTGGTATTTCAGCCAATCCAATCTCATTAATAATAGTAATAATAAACCTTGCATTCGATATAATATCTTATCACGTCTTCAGGATGTCTCAAAGCGCTTCACAGAATATTTTGTGGGCGAAACGCAGCAGCCAATTGCGCACAGCAGTGTCCCACAACAGTCGTGGATTGAGTGACCAAATTTTTTTATTGTTGGAAGGGATTATTACACCTGGAAAACGATCCGCCAATTGACTAACAACTGGGTCCTACTTACTGCTAGTTAAACAGGGGCGTGTGGAGTAAGGAAACTTGCCTAAGGTTTCGTCCTGCCCGAGAATCAAACCTAGGTCCTCTCGCTTCTGAGGCAAATGTTCTAACCAATACTCTATAGACCTCATTCTTCCAGAACACTCATCCTATCATCCCTCATCACAGTATCAAACTGATTTTTAAATGAGTTCAGTGCCCTGGCCTCATCCACCCTTTTTGGGAGCCTTTTACAGTCTTGGTAGATAAATACTTCCTGGTATTTGTCCTGAAAATGCTTTTTACAATTCTAAACCTATGTCCTCTTGTTCTATTATTTTGACCTGGATTTACTTTTTCAATCCCATTTAAAATAAACTCAGGTCCCCTCTGAGTCATCTTCTCTCAAGAATAAAGAGCCCTAGCTTGACTAATCATTGCTCACATAGCCCACTCCTCTACCATTGGGGACCATCCCTGTTGCTTTCCTCTGCACTGCCTTTAGAGCCTCGGCAGCCCCCTAATGACCACAACTGTATGCAGTAGTCTAGTTGTAGTCTAAGCAGAGCATTATTTCAATGAGTATGATATCAATTGGTATGATAAACTCAATTGATCTAGCAATGTAGCCCAGCATCCTCCTTGGCTTGGTCATTGTGGCCTCACACTTTTGACACAGTGAGGGACTAGTGAACTAAGTCTCCTAGATTTCTTTCAGCTTCCTCCTCGGCAAGTTCTGTCCCATCCATGGAGTATTTATGTTTCCTTTCCTTGTATCCTATAAGTAGTACCTTGCATTTGTCTGTATTAAACTTTATTTGCCAATTAGCAAGCTCTCTTTGTTGGACCTTGGCTGCCTCCTCTGATTCCACAGTTCTCCCAACTTGGTGTCATCTGCAAATTTAACTATCTTACACTGGGTCCAGGACATTAATATATACAAGGGACAGGAGGCAGCTTAGGTTTGACAAAATAATTTGTGATTCAACATCCGAAGAAACACTGAACTATTCTCACAATGAAGATCAGACTATACAATAGCACTCTATTACATGGCTTTGCATCTTGGCCAATTGAAAGACTGCAGAGGAGAAGCTTGACACTTTCAAAATAGAATCATAGTCAGTGCAGAAGGAGCTGATTCTGCCCATTGAGTCTGCACCTGCTAACAGAGTAAGCTGCATTTCCAATCCCACTGTCCTGCCTTGTTACCATACCCCTTCATGTATTTAACTTTCATATACAGTACCCATCAATTTACCTCTTGAAACCCACAATAGATTTTGACTCTACCTCAATATCAATGTCTTCTCAAGATGAGCCAAAAGCAGTTGGATAGTTAAAATGCTGAACAAGATAATAGAAGAAGGAAAAACACATCTCTCAATACAACAACTCATGAAGCAAAATTGCCTCAGTTGACTAGGTAAAGTGATCAGGATACAGGACTCCAACACATTGCAGCAAGCACTGAAATGATAGCGGAATGGAAAGGTGAGTATGAATGAATTTTCAACAGGTAAATGTCTTGGTGCTACTCTAGAGGATAAATGATATTGGAAACCCACATAAGTGAACCTTAGTTAATTGAGTCTTTCAGATCACAACGTGTAACTTACCGCACATGCATCCTTTTTACCCTTCTTGTCACCTGCACAGATCATATTGTCGGTTATGTCAAGTGATTGGTAATTTTTCCGGCACGTCTTCCTGTCTATGACAGGAAGTTTAGCTTCTTTCAGGATGTCTGATATCTCTTTGGATTTGGTTTTTCCCCAGCCTGCAACAGTGCACTTTGTTTTAGCTTCAACATCGTTCGTCATTTCAGGCAGGGCCAAAACATCCACAGATTTGGTTATTTTTGCTGCACCATCCAACTATCAAACAAAAAGGTTAGAGACATAACAGGGCGCTGAAAGAGTCAGTGGCAATACTTTGGTATAATTGAAAAGTATAATTAGTAACTGTTCTAAGAAGTATACACACAGAGAATTATTTTCACAAGATTCCAAATCAAGGGGTGAAAAATGCAATCTTTCAGAACAGATTCAATGAAATAATTATCACATTGAATGAACCATCTAATTTTAAACCTCAGTATTCCCAAGGGTTTTTCCAATGATTTTAATACTGGACATCTACTGTACATTAAAAAAAAGGCTTAAGCATCCTGTTCTGATGTGAGTACATCACCATCGACCCCCAGACATCATTCAGGGCAGGTCCTCTCTGCATCATTGTTACCTTTGTAACACAAATCCATTGAATCTTACAGATTGCCTGTGCATAAATAGGTTAACAACTACAACACATGACATTTATGAAGCACTTTTCATGTCAGGAGGACATCTCAAAATGCAACACACACCAGTTACATTTTAACTTCATAGGAAATTAATTACATAGGACATATGTGCACCCTCAGGAAGGTGGAAGATGAACTAGATGGACCTTGGTCTTTTTTCGTCTAGCATTACTTATGTTCTTAGATGTACAACTGTCTGGAGGGAAGCTGAGGAGGGGAGGGGAAAAGGTGGCTGAAAGCACAGTCAAATATATAGATCTTAAAGCGGGTTTTGAAAGAGAGCATGAGGACCAAGGTGGAGGGACTCTGCAATTAAGTAACAGGGAGCAAAGCCAAAGTGGCTGAAGGCTCCTAATTTTTTAATGTAAGTTATTAAATCAGCAGATACTTCTATCAGCATACCTCGATCAGCATGATATCATTCGTAAAACGATCCCAGTTGAATTTTGGGTGCTGGTATTTTTTCTTGATTTTAAGAAATTGTTTTTCTTTTTCTTTCTTGGAAAGGGACTGAGCTCCAAGAACGACTGTTTGCTTCTTTGATATAAGATATCTACAATATTGATACAATAGGTCTTAGTGATATAATTGAAAGAGATATTTGTGTTATCAAAAGTTGTTATTCAACATGTTAAATCTTACTTGAAAAATAATGAAATAACAGTGTTGAAACCTTGGGGTCTTGTTTGACCCTCAACTATCCTTTCTACACCACATCTGCGCTAAGACCCGCTCTGCCTTCCCCCACCTCCACAACGTCACTCGGCTTGGACACTGTCTCACACCACAGGCCACCGAAACCCTCATACACGCTTTCATTACATCGAGGCTCAACTATGCAAACTCATTGCTTGTCGGCCTCCCCAACTCCTCCCTCCACAGATCATCCAGAACACTGCAGCCCGTGTCCTCTCCCGAAGTAGGTTCCGTGACCCTATCACCCCCATCCTTGCCCAACTCTATTGGCTTCCCGTCACACAGAGAATAGAGTTCAAGATCCTGGTCCTTACCTTCAAAGCCCTCCATGGTCTTGTTCCCCCCTACCTCTGCGACCTCCTCACCACCTACCCTACTGCTCGCTCCCTCCCCGCAGCGGGCTCCGGCCTGCTTCACGTCCTCCACCTCGCTCGACCCACTATTGCAGGGGGACCTTATGCCACTCTGCCCCCACCCTCTGGAATTGCAACTCACAGTCCCTCTGAGTCAGAAGGTTGTGGGTTCAAGTCCTACATCAGAAATTTGAACTCGCAGACAAGACTGACACTCTAGCGCAGTATTGGGGGGGGGGGCTGCACTTTTGGAGGTGCTGTCCTTCAGATGAAATGCTAAACTGAGGACCTGTTTTCCTGTCGAGGTGGACTTTAAAGATCCCATGACACTATTCAAAATGCGAAAGGCATTTCTCCCAGTATCCTGGCCAACAACCCCCCAAATAGAATTAATCATTCACTTTTTGGCTATTTGTGGGATATTACTGGATGCAAATTAGATGCGAGTTTGCCTACAAATACAACTACATTTCACAGTAATATCTTGTGAAGTACTTTGAAATATCCTCTTGCTAATGTGATAAGTCACTGTATTAATTGTGAGTATTATTATTATTGTTGGATTCTTTAGTTAGGATTGCTTAAAAATCTCAGTGAGAATGAGAGTAATATCTCTATTTACCAGAAGGAGTCCCCATTTGCACGACTTGTAATAATAATAATAATAATCCTTGCATTTGATATAGCGCTTTTCACGTCGGGAGGACGTCCCAAAGCGCTTCACAGAACACACTGTAAAGTGAACTGACTGTATATTTGTGGGCGAACGCGGCAGCCAATTGCGCACAGCAATGTCCCACAAACAGTCGTAGATTGAAAATGACCAATTTATTATTGTTTTTTGTTTTGGAGGGAATATTATTAGGCGTGTGGAGTAAGGAAACTTGCCCAGGGTTTGGCCCTGCCTGGAATTGAACTCAGGTGTCTCGCTTGCAAAGTGAGTGCTCTAACCACTGAGCTACAGGACTTGTATTTCTTATTCGAGAATTAAGTTAAAAAATACTGCAAATTAGATCGCAATATATATGTGATCACTAACATTTCAAAGTGTAAAATGAAACAATCAAAATGTTGAATATTTACAAACTGATTATCATATAAAAACTACCAATTAATTTCCACAATGTTTTTGTAATATGATATTGTTCGAATTCAAGATCCTCATCCTCACCTACAAGGCCATTCACGGCCTTGCTCCCTCCTACCTCTCCGACCTACTATCCCCCTACCTACCCGCCCGTACCCTCCGTTCCTCTGGCTCCGGTCTGCTCCACATCCCCCGCCCCAACCGCCCTACCATCGGTGGCCGGGCCTTCAGCCTCTCAGCCCCTAGGCTTTGGAACTCTATCCCCCAGTGCCTTCGCCGCCTCCTCCCTTTCCTCCTTCAAGGCCGGTCTCAAGACCTTCTCTTTGAATGTGCCTTCAGCTCCCCTCTCGACTCTCTACCCCCTCCTCGCTCGCTCCCTCCCTTCCCTCCCCTCACCCTGACCATTTCTGCTGAACATTACATTACTTGGTACATTACACAAGTGCTCAGTAATCAGCATGTCTAATTCTATTGATTATTACATGTCAGGAGGATGTCCCAAGGAGCTGGACAGTCAGGGATCCGCACCCGAGCTGGTGGTTGGGATCAGGAGATGTGGAGGACGGGAAGGGTAGGGGTAGGAAGGTGACCAAAGACACAGTTGAAGAGGAGGGGTCTTGAAGGAGTAAGGGAGGGAGCGAGGTGGAGGGACTGCAGGATGGAGTTCCAGACGGCAGGGGCAGAGAGGCTGAAGGCCAGCCCGCCAATTGTGGGGTGGGCAAGGCTGGGGGCGCTGAGCGGAGGGAGCGAACAGGTTGGTAGGGAGTTAGGAGGTCACAGAGGTAAGGGGTAGCAAGGCTTTGAAGGTGAGGACCAGGATCTTGAACCATATCCTCTGAGTGAATGGGGAGCCAGTGGAGCAAGGCGAGGATGGGGTGAAAGGGTCACAGGACCTGTTGCAGGAGAGGACACGGGCTGCAGAGTTCTGGATGATCTGCAGCCTGTGGAGGGAGGAGTTACATCGAACTAAACTTGATATTGTTTTTCAGACAAATGCAATTAGAAAGAATTAAGATTGATGCAATAACTTACCTGACACAGTGTGCTGCGGTCAGTACCCAGTTTGGTTTGATCAGGGTTCCTCCACAAACATGGGAATTATTATTTTGGATAGATGTCATGTAAGGTCTTGAGTGAGACTTAACTTTGCCACCTCCAATAATTTCCACAGCAACATCTATATAAAAAATAGGAAAGAATTATGGTCATTGTGAAGAATGGGGAGTCTTTACAAAAAATGCAAATGTTATACTTACTAATAGGCAGGTTTAAGAACAAAACAATCAAAGTTTGAATTATAAATTGCAGCAAAGCCATTTTACTCCAGTTGAGAAAACCTGAGCTTTTAGTTTCCACCATTATGAGTGAGTGTGGTTACAGCAAGTTCTTACAGACATATGATGTGATAGCCTCAATAGCTTCAGAAACAATTCAGTCTGTTTTTTTTCACAATTTGTAATTATCACCCTGGTTGTGAAGAGAAAGCAGATTGTGTTAAAACCAACAGTTCTCACAGCTTGTAGTTATGTACCTAGGAACCGTTTTCACACTTGCAATGTGTCATGGAAAAAAACAGCAATTTGTTTCACAGATAAATGTCACGTGCCGAAAACTAACCCAATTTATTTATTTTATAAATGTAACGCAAAAGCTTTCACTTCATAGCAGTTACAAAATGCAATGCAGTGCCTTCAAGGACCTGAACAGCATTTGTATACATTTTGTTTCTAACTTTAGCAATTACATCTCAATGTTATAACCATTAATGGAGAGAAATTTCGCTTCAGTCAAAATTTATACTATTTATATTGCATTTTAGAACATCCTGAATTTGGGCCAATTGGTAAATACAGCACAGCCTTAATTTTGAAAACAATATTTTAAAAATACCTTTTTTATTTAATAATAGTAATCCTTGATTTGATATAGTGCCTTATTTTGTTCTAGACATCTCAAAGCGCTTCATAGTATATACTGTAAAGTGAATTGACTGTATGTTTTGTCAGTGAAACGAGACAACTAATTGTGCACAGCGGTGTCCAACAAACAGTCGTGGATTAAATGACCAAATTATTATTATTTTTTAAAAGGATTATTATACCCAGAAAAGCGAACCGCCATTCGACTAACAACCGGGTTCCTACTTACTGCTAGGTAAATAGACGCATGTAGAGTAAGGAAACATGCCCAACGTTTCGCCCTGCCCAGGTATCAAACCCAGGTCTTCTCACTTGACTTGCGAGGCGAGTGCTCTAACAACTAAGCTGCAGGAGTCCACTAGTGCTCTAACCACTAAGCTACAGGACTCCAAATTGTCAACATATGTTTCTATTGAACTCTGTTTCTATTTTCTTTTGTTTACGTACTTATAGAAAGTACATTCTGATGGTTTCAATCAATGTAAATTTATTATACAGTATTATGCTTTCTTATTTAGGATTCCTAAGCTTTCTGTTTCTGTTATTCGCTCGGTTGATGGCTGCTATTTCCTTTAACACTTTATTATGTTTCTTACCTTTTTTCATCCTTATTTTTAATGACACGCATGCCCTCCAGCTGAACTCTAAAAGTTAGATACAAATTCCTTCATTCCAAAACAGGAAATCACAAAACAGGATTTGGTGGAATGCAAGTCTTACACATTCCCACCATATTTTGTTCCCTTGTCCTTGTTAGTGATGTCAAAGCACAGAATAGGTGCACGCTACTGTGTTCCCATGCAGTGTTATTCTGGTTAAAGTGCTACTGTTGCTTGGCATCAATAATTTCTCTAATCTTCTGATAGAAAGATCTACACTGCCAATCCAAAGGAATAACAGGGTAAGAAATTCTACTGTAACTCAATCTCTATTCGTATATTGTAGGTTATTTGTTGGACATTCTATGTGCAAATCAAGTCTGTTTTACAATAAATCCTGTGAAGTGCTTTGAGTTGTCCCCACTGTTTTGAAAGGCGCTAATACAAATTCAAATGATCATTATTATTTGTAGTGCAGATTTCCCCAGATAAAAAAAAATTGATCATTCGTTGTTTGTGGGACATTGTTCGGTGCGAATTGACTGCTGCGTTTACCTATAAACACTCAGTCACTACACTTCACAGAAAAACTCTGAAGTGCTTTGAGACATTTTGGTGTGAGAATACAATATATATAGACCTTGGTTTCGCCCACAAAATATACAGTCAAATAGAAGGATTTTTTTAAATCAAAAAAATGCTTCATTCTCTTGATTTGCTGCACTTGCACTGGCAACTTTGCTTCCTTAGTTTTCAGCCAAAGTAGTGTTACAGCAACACTACTGGTCACTCAGAGAATTGTAGCGGTTTCTGTGCAATTCCCTGACTAAAAAGTAGTGTCACTATTAACCCAGGAAAGACAGAATTGACATTATTTTTAGATGCAAATCTCTAAATGTATCACTCTTCTTAGCACATCCACAAAAAACAAATATGTGACTTACAACATAAACAAGGGAGAGGAGTTTTGAGGAGTTTTAAGCAGCGCCGTTGGGTCAGTTCGACTCAGTTTGGTGATCCTTTTTTCTTTGAGTCAGAAGGTAGTGGGCCAAAGCTCCAATAATAATAATAATCCTTACGTTTGATATAGTGCCTTATCACGTCTTCGAGACGTCTCAATGCACTTCACAGAATATACCGTGAAGTGAACTGACTGTATATTTTGTTGGCGAAGCGTAGCAGCCACTTGCACACAGCAGTATCCCACAAACAGTCATGGATTGAAGTGACTAATTTATAATTATTTTTTTTAAGGAATTATTACCCCCGGAAAAGCAATCCACCAATCAACTGACAACCAGGTTCCTGCTTAATGCAAGGTAAACAGATGGGTGTGGAGTACGGATACTTTCCCAACATTTCGCCCTGCCCAGGAATCGAACCCAGGTCTCTTGAACTATAGGACTCTACTTGGGACTTAATCATATTCCAGTGAAACCTAGCCTGCCTATTCAGGTGAATGTTAAAAATCCCATAATCTTATTGGAGAAGAGAAGGAAGTTTCTCCTAATGACGTGATTAATAATCACCAGGTCAAATTGTCATTCACCTCATTGCTGTTTGTTTGAGCAGATGGCATCTGCACTTCCCAAACAGTCACTCTGCTTGACAGAAATTAACTCTGAGATGTATCAAACAGGTGCTATAAATATCTGAGTCTTTTCAGGGTTGGAGTACTAGCTCTTGTTACTATGCCACCATGTGAGATACAATCACAGTCATTGGACGTGACTGCAACAGAAGGATCTATTTGAATCCCAGGTTTTAATTAATTGGAAAAGTTAATTCCAAGAATCTAATGACGGTACTTTCAGGGAAGACAAGTATTTTGCCAGGTGAAACTTGTTATTTTCATCTTCTGTTATTTTCCCCCTCTTCCTCTCCCCTCTTCCTTGCTCAGCGTCTGACCCCAAAACAAAACATCTTGTTTCAGCTTTGGTTTTCGTGATAACTCCAGGATTTAAAAATGTTTTTGAACAATGTTTAATTCATTTTCACCCTAAGACTAACATACTGTATACTTCCCAGAAATGTTGCATATTCGATACATTCCACAAGAGTTCTGTGTGCATGTTTCAGCTAAATATCAAGGTGGTAAATTATGTGACCAATTGCATTTTGTATCATTCTTGCTATTTCAGTACACCAGTTGTAATGTTCAAGTAAAACAAATAAAAGCACTAAATTCTATATAACCAGTGAACGTAAATGAAAAAGATATAGATTTTTCTAAGTTTTTGTCGTACTGAAATCTCTCATTGTTTTTCAAATACAAAATGTAACTTTCTGACCTGTGACATTGTAGATCAGAGCATTGGGGTAATTAACATTACCCTGAGTATATAAAATATTAAATCCCCCCACAACCACCCCATTTTGTAATTTGGCAAAATCACAACCTATGGGGTGAAAATACACTTGCTCATAAAGTTACCATCCATTATGGTATACACATTAAAGTATTTCCCCACTGTAAGCACAAGGTAAGTTGGTACTCTGCCCTCTCAACAACAACAACAAGATTCCATTTATAGAGCTCCTTTCACGTCGGGAGGACGTCCCAAGGTGCTGCACGGTTGGGTCAGGACCCGAGCGGGGGGAAATGGTCAGGTTGAGGGGAGGGAAGGGAGGGAGCGAGGAGGGGGGAAATGGTCAGGGTGAGGGAAGGGAGGGAGCGAGGAGGGGGTAGAGAGTCGAGAGGGGAGCTGAAGGCTCGGTCAAAGAGAAAGGTCTTGAGACCGGCCTTGAAGGAGGAAAGGGAGGAAGCGGCGAAGGCACTGGGGGATGGAGTTCCAGAGCCTCGGGGCTGAGAGGCTGAAGGCCCGGCCACCGATGTTAGGGCGGGGGATGTGGAGCAGACCGGAGCCAGAGGAACGGAGGGTACGGGCAGGTAGGTAGGGGGATAGTAGGTCGGAGAGGTAGGAGGGAACAAGGCCATGAATGGCCTTGTAGGTGAGGATGAGGATCTTGAATTCAATCCTCTGGGGGATGGGGAGCCAGTGGAGGCGAGCGAGGGTGGGAGTGATGTGGTCCCGAAGCCTGGTGCGGGACAGTACACGAGCTGCAGCGTTCTGAATGACCTGCAGCTTGTGGAGGGAGGTGCCGGGAAGGCCGATAAGGAGAGAGTTCCCATAGTCCAGCCTTGAGGTGATAAAGGTGTGGACCAGTGTTTCAGCAGCATGAGGGGTGAGGTAGTGCCGTAGTCTGGCGACATTCCGGAGGTGATGGAAGGCGGTGCCAGTTGTGGCGCGGATATGAGATGCGATGGTGGGTTTAAGCTCCATGCCAGGACCTTGCGCTCATAGTCTTGGCTGACATTCCAATGCAGTCTTGGGGGAAGTGTTGCATTGTCAGAAGTGCCGTCCTTTGGATTAAACATCTGCCTGTTCAAGTAGACTTTTAAGATCCCATTACACTATTCAAAAAGAAAAGGAGTTTCACCAATGTTCTGGCCAACAATCCCCCAGATAAAATTGGTTTTCCACTTCAGGGCCAGTTCATACAATACCAGATAGTGTCACCAAGCTCCATGCCAGACTATTCCAGTATGTTCAAGCATATCCTTTCCTTTAGCAACTCAACAACAACAACAGCAAATTACACTTGTATAGCGCCCTTCACATCGGAAAGACGTCGGAGGGTGCTAGATAATCAGGGGTTTTGAACCTGAGCTGGGAGTTGGGGTCAGAAGGGAAGGAGGACCGGGAGGGTGGCCGAAGGCACAAGCGAAGAGGAAGGTCTTCAGATGGGACTTGAAGGAGGCAAGAGAGGGGTTGAGGCAGAGGGATTGCGGGATAGAGTTTCAGAGTGTGGGGACAGAGATGCTGAATGCCCGACTGCCAATGCGGGGGACCTGAAGCAGGCCGCCGAGTGGAGGGAGCGGACAGGCTGATATGGGTTATGTGGTCAAAGAGGTAGGGGCGAGCAAGACCATGAAGGGCCTTGAAGGTAAGAACAAGGGTTTTGTACTTGATTCTTTGAAGGATGGGGAGCCAGTGAAGCGGGGCAAGAACGGAAGAGATAGGTTCCCGGAGCCTGGTGCAGGAGAGGACACAAGCTGCAGAGTCCTGAATAATCTGCAGTTTGTGGAGGGAAGAGTTGGGAAGTCCAGGGAGCAGGCAGTTGGCGTAGTGAAGCCGAGATGTAATTAAAGCGTGGATCAGGGTCTCGGAGGCCTGTGGTGAGAGGCAGTGGCAGAACGGGCAATGTTGCGGAGGTGTGGAAAGGCAGAATGAGTCACGGCATGAATGTGGGGTTTGAGGGTGGAAAAGGACACCGAGTTTTCGGATTGGCTCAATGAGGTGAAGAGTGCAGCCAAGAATGGTGATAGTGTCAGCAGTTGAGGTGAGGGGGTGCTTCCGGGAGTCAAGCAGGAGGGCCTCTGTTTTGCCAACATTGAGCTGGAGGAAGTTGGCTCTGGTCCAGGACTTGACGTCACTCAAAGCACTGTGCACATCCCAGTCACTCGTTTCATTACAAATAATACTTGTCACTTGTACGAGTGATAGGGAGAGCCTGATAGGATCCAGTCTTCGCTGAGGTCCCTTTATCGGTGTCAATCAGTACCAATTTATTTGTATTTTTGTCTTAAGCTATAGTTAGTTCAAGGTCACTGTGTTTGGTCAGGGTTATTTGTGGAAACCAACAGCTATATCCTGGCCTCAAAACACATGTCAGAAAGCCTTATATTCCTATGTTCTCCACAAAATGTACTTGAGCATCTTTAGCTCATCCATAGCACCAGTACTTGTCAGAGTGCTAGTCATTAATAGGGAGATCTAGGTACAATGAATGCTAGGGAGAATCTTACTGCATTAGTTTAGTCTTCATTTGCTTTATTATTCTATATTTACTGATTTTATTTATTCTGTACCCCATTGTTTCGCCTCTTGTTCTTTCCCTCTTTTAAACTTTGCCTGTTTCTTTCTGTTTCAACTAGTTTATTCTTATCCTCTCTCTGTCCATCTCTCACACAGTATGCTTTCACATATATCATACATATATGTTTGTGGCTCTTTTAGTTTTGTGCACAGGTTTCAAAATGAAAATGCTAAGATGTTAAGATTTCTAAGGTTTAAAAAACATTATACATAATAGGCCTTTCATTTAACAAAGCATTGTCAAAATGTCTCAGAGGACTTCATAGGATTTTTCTGTAAAGTGTGACTATATATATATTTGTAGGTGAATCTGGCAGCCAAACACAGCAATGTCCACAGACATGGAATGAATGACTCATTTTACATGGGGAATTGTTAGCCAGACATCAGGAGAAACTCCCTTCTCTTTTTTGAATAGGGCTATGGGATTTGTAATGTCAAAGGCAGACAGGAATAAAAATAGAAGTCGCTGGGAACACTCAGCAGGTCAGGCAGCATCTATGGAGAAAGGAAGGTGAGTTAATGCTTCTGGTCGATGACCTTTCATCAGAACTGTCAGACAGGATCTCAGTTTAACATTTTACCCAAAGGATGGCAACTCCAGGAATTCCCGACTCCCCCAGCACTGCATTGGAGTATCAGTCTAGACTATGAAATCAAAGTCCAACAGGGGCTTGGACCCATATCTACTGACTCCAAGGTGAATGTGCTAACATCTGAGCCAGGCTGATACCATTAATTCAGAGAGTGTTTTATATTTGTTTAAATTAATTGGTTTACTAGAGGGTTTGTTTAAAAATCAAAAGATATAAAAGACACAGAAATACATTTTAGAGTTTTAAATATGTTATTTCATAGGCTTCAGGGAACTTTGTTTGTTACTGTGAATCAAGTTTGTTTTGAAAAGCACCAGAGAAAATTGCTTAGAAACAATCAGTTCTCAGATGAGCTTCTTATCATACATTAACATGTTATATTTACACTGGGAACGCCTTGGCAATACTTAAAATGTAATGACTTCTTGGGATATTAAAGGAAAGGTGACAAAACTACTGGGAATAACTAACCATGTGTGTTTTTCCCCTTGGTAATTTGAGGAAGATCCCAAGGATCCGCAATAACATACCACAACAAAAATAGCTGTGTTGTACTTACCTTTTTGGTATGCTACTGGTTCTTGCTACTGAATTCATGGATTTATGGAGATGGAGTCAGTTACACAAACTGCAAGCATTGGCACCAGGTGGAATTTCTAAAGCACTGGGCGTACACAATGTTTCACCGTCAATCTAGTGAGCAGTCACCGGACTTAAATATATTTTTTTCTGCCTTTATAATTGCCCTCGCATAATTTCTGGGTTTGACTAAACTATTTTTAATTCTTCAGCACTAAGTCATTATTTGATGCTAACTAGCAGCTACACAACACTAAAACTACTACAAATCATCTCTTTTCAGCATGAGTATCAACTGAGCATTCTTCAACGAGCCTCAGTTGTGGCAGCAAAGATTAGACTGGCCGCTTACACTGGAGATTCTGAGTCAAATTTTGAGCATTGCTGATTACACATACGAAAACGTGCTGATTCAATGTTTGAAGAAAGCCAAAATGTCCAGTGTCACCTGCCGATATTAGCTGGCTGTCACACATTGTGGAGTCCTGTAGCTCAGTGGTTAGAGCGCTCGCCTCGCAAACGAGAGACCTGGGTTTGATTCCCGGCAGGGCGAAATGTTGGGCAAATTTCATAACTCCACACGCCTCTGTTTACCTAGCAGTAAGTAGAAACCTGGTTATTAGTCAATAGGCAGATTGCTATCGGGGGTAATAATTCTTTCAAAAAAAATAAATTGATCACTTCAATCCACGACTGTTTGTGAGACACTGCTGTGCACAATTGGCTGCTGCGTTTTGCCCACAAAATATACAGTCAATTCACTTTACAGTATATTCTGCGAAGCCCTTTGAGACGTCTCGAAGACGTGATAAGGCGCTTTATCAAAAGCAAGGATTATTATTATTTACTTACCAACTGGTAAATGATCGGTTAGCCAGAGAAATTATACTTCTGTTAGGTAAGCCTAACAAAATGTCCAATGTGATGTCCAGCAATGAACATCACAACATACAATGGATTCTTAGACACTGTGAAAGATCGTAGTATTACACTAGTCACAACACACACGATGATAAAAGGGAGCCTAGTTTAGGTTTTATTTCTTGATCACTTTCCATTCCTTCTTTTATTTATATTTTGCTATTAGATTCTGTCTTTTTCTGTATTCTCTTTGGTTCTGTTTAGGTCTCCCAGGAACCAGCTTGTTCTTACTGAGTTCTGAACAATGTGCATTGAAAGTAATGTAATACTAAAGTATCTGTTTTCAAATTTCATTTCTGTGTTAATGTTGCAGAATGTGAAATCCAGAATACAAAACGAGAAAAATATTTTGTTCCCAGGACCTGATATCCCTCACTTCAAAGGGATGAAAGCTATTCATTTGTAAATTTATGTGGAGTCCCGTAGCTCAGTGTTTAGAGACTTGGGTTTGATTCCTGGCAGGGTGAAATGTTGGGCAAGTTTCCTTACTCTATTGCCTTATCTAGGAGTAAGTAGGAACCCGGTTGTTCATCAATTGGTGTATCGCTTTTCTGGGGGTTAATAACTCCTTAAAAAAAAATTGGTCACTTCAATCCATGACTGTTTGTGGACACTCCTGTGTGCAATTGGCTGCTGCTTTTCGCCCACAAAATATACAGCCAATTCATTTTACAGTATATTTCAATATGGGATCTGCGCCTAGACACGGAACCCATCTGGGTAATTTAAGTATTGTGTTCCAAATTGATGGAATTGTTTTCAGGGCAGTCCATTTTAACAATTTTAAGAGAGAGGTTCGGATAAAGAAGGCCTTTGGTCCACTTTTGATCTATCTTGCTTCCATCTTGCTATTATTCCACCAAATTGCTTGTTGAATGAATGCAGTGCCCTGGCCTCTACCATTTTGGTCATTCACTTAATGACTGTTTGTCCACCTTAATAGTCCACTTTACTGTGGATGCTGAGAAGTGCTTTGAGACATCCTCCTGATGCGAAGAGCACTATATCAAATGCAAGGAGTGTTATTAATATAACATTTCCTGGTGCCTTTCATAAAACTGCCTTTCACAGCTAAACCTGTACTTTTCTGTCCTGACTCACGTGGAAACCCATTGCCATGTATAAGAGTATACAAACCAAACTGAGAATTCCATGCATCCCATCTCACACGATAATCCCAGAGGTAGATTATTGGAAGGGAATGCGCACTCCCTCCCTGGAGGGACACATCCTTTATAATTAATCCCGAGAATTATTAGGCTTTCCGAGTGCAAGAGCCAAGGCATGGGGACCCCAGAGTGTGTGTTGGGTACTGCTGGAGTCTGTCTCCCATTGCTCATTCCATTAATCCTGGGGATCAACCTTGTGGATCGAAAAATGATCATTCACTCCATGGCTGTTTATGGCACATTGATATGTACAAATTGGCTGCCACATTCACGCACAAAATACAGTCACACCACTTTACAGTGTATTCTATGAAGCGCTTTGAGACGTCTCAACGATGTTTTAAGACACTATATCAAATGCGAGGATTATTATTATTATTATTATTATCATCATCACCCTTTGTGGTGTGATCTAACTTTTTAACAATGTTAAGTGAATAAAGGATTAACATCCCCGCTCCGACATATTTCCCCAGATACTCTTTCCGAACCTGACAACTCCTTCGGGGATTTGTTCAGGAGTACTCCGCTTGTCCAACCTACTGAAAAGAAAAAAAAATAAATGAGGGTAAGATACATCTTTTCAGCCTTGAGAGCACATTTGCGGTTCACAACGTACAGGTCGGGAAGTGAGCGAATGGAGTTAAAATTGACATTATGTCCAATAAAGTGTCATCTGGAGTGGACAGTTGGGGCCCCATTAAAAAAAAAACGTACTGTTGTTCTCCGCGTCCTTGAGCATCTGACAAGTACGTGAGAGACCGGGAACAGTCTTCGCAGAGAGAGAGAGAGAGAGAAAAAAAAACAAGTGAACATAAACATCTTACGTCAACTCGGCTTTTCAATTCCTGGATGGCAGTCCCCAGTGCAACCTGTTTAACCCCAGAGCTCACTTACCAGCCCGGATTTGGCCAGAGAGAGAGAGAGAGAGAGACAACACAACACACACACACACACACAACACACACACTGCCTACAGGCAACAACACCGGATTTAGGAAACACACACACACAACACACCACACACACACATGTGGGGGCACAACACCTGATAAAAAGCACTCCCGGGGCCAGTGCTGCGGTCATTGGGGTAGAGTCGTCGGTCAGTGCACCGGGTGGCAGTGCGACATACATACACATACATACATACGCGTACATACACACACACACGCACACACACACATGACACTGCAGAACATGCCCAGCGCCCGCGGCTTCGCGCTGCTGCTGCTGCTCCTCCTCCTCCTCGTCGTCCGCGTCCCGGCGCTGCCGAGCGCCGCGCGGGGCTTCGCGCTGCACTACGCGGTGGACTGCGCGGCTCCGTGCGACGGGCGGACGGCCTGTCCGCGCACCGCGGGCTGCAAGAGGACGGTGCTGGACGACTGCGGCTGCTGCCGGGTGTGCGCGGCCGCCAGGGGGGAGGTGTGCTACCGCACCGTGGCCGGGATGGACGGGGTCAAGTGCGGACCCGGACTGCGCTGCGCCTTCGACAGCCAAGAGGACGACTTCGGGGATGAGTACGGGATATGCAAAGGTACACGGGGAGGGGGTGGGAGGGGGGAGAGGGGGAGAGGGGCTTTATTTTAACCTCTCGTCTCTCCCGAGTTTCTCTCTCACTCACTCACTCTCTCTCTCTTTTTTTTCCTCCTATATATATATTTTTACAAATCCATGGATTTCGGCCGCAGTCTCTCCCGCGAGTTTCCATTGGTTGGGATTTTGCTTTTCGAGCGCATCGCTCTCTCTCTCTCTCTCTCTCTCTCACTCTCTGTCTCTCCGATGTGGGACATGAAATGACTCGGCGTCGCGACGTGTGTCGAACGCGTGTCCGTTATTAACTGGTCTGGAAAATACTACTACTAATACTACTACTACTACTACTAATAATACTAATAATCCTCGCATTCGATAGAGCGCCTTTCACGTCGGGAGGACGGCCCCGAAGCGCTTCGCAGAACACACCGTGAAGTGAACCGACTGTATATTTGTGGGGCGAACGCGGCGGCCGATTGCGCACAGCAATGCCCCACAAACCGTCGTGGATTGAAAATGACCAATTTATTATTGTTTTGGGTTTTTTTTTTGGAGGGATTATTATTAGGCTCTGTGTGGAGTGAGGAAACTTGCCCGAGGTTTGGCCCCTGACCTGCCGGGGATTGAACTCAGGTCTCTCGCTTGCAAAGCGAGTGCTCTAACCGCTGAGCTACAGGACTCCTACGCACAATGTCAAGCGCAATAAGAGTGGCAAAGGTTCAACAGTCACTACACACGCAGCGATAAGCAGTGAACATCATAACGTACATTAATATCTTTAATTCAGCAACTGCAAGAGTGTCCGACAATTGGGCATATGTTTGTATAGGTGTTTCCTGGCTCATCAGACACAGTGTGGATCCTCGATTGCAATGCAGGGTATAAGCACTGCTCTGTTACTCTTGTATTCGATATGTAAAAAACTACGTTGCGTTTGTGATATTACCACATTTAAGTAACATTAGCCGACACAGGGTGTCAAAAAGACAACACAGAGCATCCAGTCCTGCAGTCAGTTCTCTGGGATAAAGAGTACATATGCCCTGAAACTCAACACATAATTAATAATAATAATAATAATATGTATTGTTATGTGGGTTAGAATTAAAATGCTTAGTCCACCTCAGAACAGCACTTTTGTGCACTGCTGGACATCGGTGGCGCTTTTGACTAGTTTATTGAACAGAAAGCTACTGTCAATGAACAATTATTAAGCGGGCGTGGAATCGTATATCGAAAGTTACAACAAATCTGTGCAAGACCTTGACAGCGGCTGTACTGATGGGCTTCTGAAAAAGGTCGTGATAAGCAACTAAGTTTGAGAAAGGGTGCCAACATATGTGATTTGACCTGTTTCTAAGGGATATGATTTCTTGGTTAAAGATTTATTAAGCGGTTTATCTCCCTCACATGTGAATACAGTTACACATCAGTGGGAATACCTATTGATTTAACATTGATATTTTGGTATTACTGTTTCAGACTGTCCCTTTGGAACCTACGGCCTGGGCTGCAGGAAAACATGTCAGTGTATGCTCGACATCTGTGACAGAGAGACTGGCAGGTGTCTGAAGTTCTCCTTTTTCGAAATTCTTGAAGGAAAATCTGGTAATCGGCGGAAAACTTCGCTTCAGTCAGGTAGCGCCTCATTGCTGCGAAATGCATCATTTCCATCACTCACAATGGCATTTAATAATAATAATAATAATCCTTGCATTTGATATAGCACTTTTCACGTCTTCAAGACATCTCAAAGCGCTTCACAGAATATGCTGTAAAGTGAATTGACTGTATATTTGTGGGCGAAACGCGGTAGTCAATTGCGCACAGCAGTGTCCCACAAACAGTCGTGGACTGAAGTGACCAATTTATTATTGTTTTTTTGAGGGATTATTATTAGGCGTGTTATTTGCAAATTACTGGCGCAGGGAATTAATTTTCAGTGTAAAAACAGAATTTTGAAAATTGCAATAAGGCAATTTGCAATAATCTTTGAAAACATTGAGGTTGATTTTTTTGCAGTTGCAATTCTACTTAAAAGGCAGAGACTATTTAACGGAATCTCTATTTTTGACAGAAAACGAGCAAGGATCGGGATATATCGATAACGCCTTAAAGCAAGATTTTCTTAAAGACAAAGCAAACAGTTCGAGTGAGGAGAAGAGGTTAAACCCTCGCTGAAATTGGTCTGGACATTAAAAGGAAAGAAAAACAACCTGACTGTAATTTACATTATAACACAATTGTTCTACAGTATATTGTATTTAATAATATTCACATGGACCATTAAAAGTGTTGTTTTGTACAGAACTGTATAGATCAGGACAATTGTTTATAGCTGCCTTTTATGGTTTTGTCACACACATGGAAAATGCCTTAAAGTGTATTGGAGGTTTCTTGATTTCTTTCATAATATTACTCAATAGCTAAATTAACAACATTTCAAGGTAAAGTGGTGAAAGAGTTCTGAACATTGCAACCTTATAATAATAATAATAATCCTTGTATAAGATGTAGCACCTCATCACAGAACATACTGTAAAGGGAACTGACTGTATATTTTGTGGGTGAAACTTATAGATAATGCTTGGGGGAGAAAAGAAAATATATTCTCTCAGTTCAGCAACTATATATCTGCTAATGAGTTTGTATAGAGAGTAATGATTGTCACAACCGGAATATGCTATCTAATAAGAGTTAACCTGTTGATACAGAAGAGATTTGTCCCAGAAAACTTCACGAATGGAAAGACGTGACATTAAATCATAGACAATTCTCATCCCTCCTTTACAAAACGTCTGTTTTCCACCGGCCAAACCTGGGGTTAGCTACTTTTGTCAGTCAGCAATCTGTTTGGAATGTATGACCCACTGCAGTGTTAAGGCAGTTTAGTTTGCTAAGAAGTAGTATAGAGTTTTATAGATTTTTCAAATATTGTAAAGCAAGGCATTCGCTATGATCTAATCATTGATAAAATATGTATATTTGTGCGACAGTTTGATATTAAGTACTGTACGCACAATGTTTTGGTTATTATTTGTGGGATTTGTTGTCATAAGTCCTTCATGGTCTGAGATAAAGGCACAACACTGTTAAAATATACAGAAATGTAAAATAACAAGATACGTGTCTATTGTAATAGGTATGGTAAGAACATTACATATCTGAACATTAAAGTAAAAAATCGTTGTGAAAGACTATGATAATAAAATAAAAATTCTCTGTACTTGAAATTACACCTGACTCAGATTATTGGAAGACATTTTTTCCAGTGTTGAAAATCTGGCCTAACACCTTTCAAAGGTTATTTTTGTTGCCAACAGAACTGAGAAAGGGCTGGCGCCATGATGAGGACACGGCCAGGTTCGAAGAGGACACACAAAGTGTGAGTTAGCTAATCCCCAAACGTTGGGTTTTATTAGTTTGCAGAGGAGGTGAGAAGGAAAGCAAATGACTCTAGTTTGAGGCCCTGTTAAAGCATGGGTTTATAAAATGAATAAAGCCTGCAATTCATTGATTTTGGCCTTGACATGAAGTTACACTGAATGATTAAAACATAGTTCAGCAAGAGGCTTGGAGGGGTAGGCCTGACCTAAGTAAAACATTTCAAATATCAGACAAAACAATCAAATCTAGTATTTATTATAACACTCCAAACCCCAGGGATAATATAGGAACATAGGAACTGGAGGCCATTCTGCCTGTCCAGCTTGTTCCCACATTATGCCAGATCTGGTTTCATTTTAACTGGTTTAGCTCCAATGTTAATATCCCTTCGTTTTAGATTCCTTTACCAGAGGGAAGAGTGGTAAATTATTTTCCATATTCTAAACACTTCAGTGCCCTTAAACAGCCTTACCCTTAAACAGCCTAATTTTATCCCACGTTTACCCAATGTTTCCATACTTATACTACAATAATAATCCTTGCATTTGCTGTAGCGCCTTATCACGCTATTGAGACGTCTCAAAGCGCTTCACAGAATACAGTGTAAAGTGAATTTACTATATTTTCTGGACAAAATAATGTGTCGTGGATTGAGTGACAATTTTTTTTGTGTGGAATTATTAACCCCAGAAAGCAATCTACCAATCCACTAATAATGTCCAAATAAGTGATCTTAAATCCCATTGTTAGGTTAGTTGTCGCATTTCAATAAACATTTAATAATGAGTTACTTGATCTCAAGCCATGTTTTAATTTTCTCAACAAAACTGCAAGGAAATGGAGTGGCAGGTTATGTTAATGTGTTTAGAAACCCATAATAGTCTATGGAACAAGCGAGTGTTATGAGGCAGTAACACATCAAGCTATTTAGACGATGCTGACAAATCACAGAAAGCCTTTCCTTAAAGACACCATCTAATTAATTTGTGTTATTCCTGTATAGTACACACAATTGCACTTGGCGTTGGCCAGTTTATTACATCTTCCACTCTTACTTTGTCATGTTAGCAGATGTTTTGGCCGAATGAAATCGCCTGATCTACACCGAAGTATTGTTAGATTTGACCCCACTTCAAGTAACTAGGAAATAAATCACTTGGTACATGTTATGCATACCACTATAACAATTATTCAACAATATTCCGTAACACGTGTTATACAAATGTTATTCAGGTGTTATTCCTGTATAGTATACACAGTTGCAGTTAGCAGTGGCTAATTTATTATATCTTCCACTTTTATTGTATCATGTTAATAGATGTTTTGGCTGAAAGAATTTTGTGGTAGGCTTGCTTCAGCGATAAAATCATCTGATCTAAACCTAATTATTGTTAGATTTATCCTCACTTTAAGTCACCGGGGAAGAAATCACCTTGCATTTGTTACATAACTATAATATTTTCACAATTATTCAGCAATATTTCACAACACGTGTTTTTCGCATCCATAATAACTGTTGTTTTTCCAGGTGTTATTGTGTTTAGAGTTTTCCAAGCGACTTCCTTTTAGTACAAATATTATTGAATAATATTATTGTGGAACACCACTAGAAGTTTTTCGGACAGTGCTGGGCTATTGTGTTGTACAGCATGAGCACGTTTTAAAGTGTACAGTGCAAATAGGTTGTGCATCCTAAATGTCTTTACAATATGGTTCCTGCAGACAATGATACACTGATCAGTAAACGCTGCTGTGTCAGGTTCCACATAATCGGTGATTTACAATGATCCTGTGCTCATCAGATAAGTCAATATTTTTAAATTAAATGCACTCACATGTTTTGCACTTAATACTTTTTTTATATTGACTACATTACACTTGGGAGTCTTTGCAAATGAACAGTTACAACATAAATCGTGTCTGGCTCCTGTTGATAAAGGTAAGCTAGTGACCATTTGTTTCCTTCCACGCATTGAGCATTAGGTACAGTTTAAATTTCTTCCAGAATCCCACAGCTCAGAGCTGATCGATTTGTTACTGTACTGAGGTGTAATTTCCATAGCTTTGGCCGCCACACCATCGTTACCCTCTGCTCTAGTGTAGAGCCGCCTTGGGAATCCAGAGCATTTTCAGACTTGAAATTTCCCTCAGGACTTCACCTGCCGATAATACCTTCCAGCCCATCTCTCTCTGTGATAAATCCTAATTCCTAACCCATTTCAGGAACCAGTCTTTCTGAACTACCAGAGAAATTGGACTCATTAAATAAGCAGCTTGCAGCTCTTTCTTTTTTAAAAAAATATTTATCCAATATATATACATATATTCTCTTTTTCAACATAATATAGGCTTTTACATGATTTTAGTCCTCTTTCAGACAAAGACATATCCTTAAACCAGTCCACTCCGAGTTAGGTTGTGTTAACTCGACTTCTCCTCATTCCCAAAGGCAACTTTTATTTCTGCTGTCCTGTCCAGCCTGAAGAAATTGTGCTGCTTGTGTTGCTTGAAACAAGCAATTACAGGATGCAGCTTAAAGAGACCGCACTTCAGGTTCAAAACAGATTTATTTATAATTTAACATTTTAGAGATGCCTCCTGATTGATTTAATACAAAAAAATATTTTTTTGCGTTGCAAAGCTATGAAAAGTCAGGCTGCCATCTGTCAGTAGAATCGCACGTTGTGTAAATGAGATTATTGGATGTTAATCATATTTCCAGGCAAATATTAAATAACATTTATTTTTCAAAAAAATATATATTTGCACCTGCACACTCCAAAAGCATCTATTTTTATCTTGCTGTGCGCTCAAACATCAACAAATGACTTCCTTTCCTTCCTGACTCCTGTGAAATTGATCAGTTTCCCATTTTTGTTGTGTCCTTAAACATCTCTACCAGCGTTTGGGAGTCTGCTGTCTCGACTCTCAGTCATCATCAAGACAGGATTATTGGCATTGAATGGAACACAAACACAATTTAAGATTGTTAGCTCACTTGGAAATCATTTAGTTTCGGCATTCAGACCTGGCACCCGGTGTATAAATTGATGAATGTCCTTTAAAATCTACTGGTGTATCCACTTCACTTGCTATTGACTGTTAATCTTGTGCCAATTCAATCTGGAAGATACCCTTTTCACTGAATAAACTGGTTTAAGTGGGAAAAAATCACATCAGTGTTGTATTCTGTTGTTTATAGTTTGGATAATGGATCGTGCGGGGGAATCCATCTCAAATAAAATTTAAACTGGTCTGTCAGCCCATCAGACCAAGAGAGACACTAGCAGGTTAAAGATAAGAAAATATTTGTACTCTGCTGCTCTTGTTTTGTGTCCCCCCCTCCTTCTATTCTGAAGGCATTGACTCTTGGTGTGATATGCCACAGCCACTACTTCTCCTTCAGTTATTTCCCCCCCATCTGTTCATGCTTCATGTGAAAGCTTGGATACTGAGTGTTAATTGCCTATTTTCACTATGGGCTATGTCACTATTCTCACTCTACATCCACACACGCGCAGTTGCCACCGTTTGGCGATCCCAAAATGTGCTGGAGTCTAACCAGTTAAAACCGCACAGCTTGCCATTGAGGGCACTGGTTGGCAGGCTTTCCCGCTGGTTGTCCAGCTAGAACTATCCTACCTGTTAGGGCTTTAGTTTGCAGGGTTAATAGGAGCGGTGTGGGAAGAGTCCCTTCCCCCAGTGACTGGTCTGCCCTTCCAAGTCCTGCTGATGAGTCAGGCTGGCTGTGCTGTCATCAGTAGTGACCTGGAATACTGTGTACCCGCCTGACTCAGGAAATGGAGTACACAGATCCTCTGGACTATCTACATTCTGTTGCCAAACATGTCACTTTGGAGCCAGTTCAGCTCCAAGGAGGCAAAGCTCATCTCCCTCCCCACTCAAGAGGATATTCATGATTTAGTCAAACCAACTTTTACAGTCCTCGTTCATAGGATATGGTATCCTGTCTCTACTAAACAACAACAACAACACGGTCGAAAAGGAAGGTTTTCAGACAGAACTTGAAAAAGGGGAGAGGGGGGGCAAGGTGGAGGAATTGAGGGACAGTCTTCCTGAGTTTTGGGGCATAGTGGCTGAATGCGCAAACTCCAATGGTGGAGCGGAGGGTGCGAGGGACAAGCAGGAGGCCGGTGCCAATCAAGCATAGGCGCCAGGTGGTGGATTGGGGAGTGAGGAGGTTGGTGAGGTAGGGGGTGCCAGGGAGTGAAGGGATTTGAAAATGAGTGTGAGGATGTTGAAGACGATCCATTCGGTGATGGGGAGCCAGTGGAGCCTGGCCAGAACTGATGAGATGTGGGTACTGAGTTTGGTCCGGGTCAGTATGCGGGTGACAGAGTTCTGAATGAGCTGGATTTTTTGAATAGTGGAGCTGGGGAGACCAGTGAGGAGTGCATTTGAGTAATCCAGGCGGGAGGTGACAAACGCATACATGAGGGTTTCAGTTGCATTTGGGGTAAGGTACAATTAGAGGTGGGCAATATGGCAGAGTTGGAGGAAGGCGGTCCTGGTCAGGGACTGGATGTGGGGAAGGAAGGACAGCTGGGGGTTGAACCGGACGCCTAGATTGTGCACTGGTTCGGTAAGTCTTACGGAGAGGCTGGGGAGATTTAGGAGGTCAGATCCGTGAAGATGTTGATGGGAGCTAAGGAGTATGGCTTCCCTCTTGTCCACATTCTTGTCCACAGCTGCAGGAAGTTTGCACTCAACCAGGCTTCGAAGCTACATTATTGTGGTGTGAGTGATATGTTGTTGAATTGGATGTGCAACTTCCTCACAGGATGTACATACATGGGTGTTTGTTTCATCATAACA